CTCCTGATCATGCTGGCACAACACACTTCTAACATCCAAAGGAGAGCCAACTTCACTAGATCTCTGCTGAAGTGCTGATCTTTAAAGCTGTGGTGAAGCTCATGGCTCTCACAGATTTTCTTACGATACCAGAACTCTCTCTCAAAACTTTGTCCCTCTAGAACAATTAGTAATTACAAAGTCTTATCATTTTATTCTATTAAAACAGTTTTCAGTTACCTTATTCTTTTTCATCTACGTTGCCTTTCTCTCTCCGCTCCCAATCTCCACTCCCCTGGTTTCTGTCTATTTAAGGGACTCAATTTCAGTATTTTCTTTTCTTTCTCTTTACTACATTACGTTTCTAAGCAAGTATGCATCAAGTCCTTAAGCAGTTGGAAATATATTTATATACTGAAAAGAAAAATAAAGAAAACTTCCGACGTTCCTGTAGCTTTGAAATGCTGAGAGGTCACGCTATCATCAGGGAGCCAGCCTTAGAAGAGAGAGGGCTTATTTGTGCATCTTGCATCTTTTATAGAAAGAAACAATAGCCGGCTTTCTCGGCTCGGGGCTCTTGGCGCCGCCCAGTGGAGGGAAGCGCCTTTGCACTTCAGTCCCATCAGTTGGCATTGTCATCATGCGGACACTTACAAACGTTCAAAACAAATATGATAGGAAGAAACACCAGTTCCAAATTCATCGTAATCTATAGGTGCATTCCTTCAAAGTTCACTTCCTTTAAAAAGCTGATGCTCCAGTTTAAACACAACCCCAAATCTTGCTTGTTAAAGTGAACGAAGGACACTATGTGTATTAAGGAACAAAACTTGTTAAAATACATGAATGTTTGATTCATTATTTGTGGTGGGGAGGGAGCACCTTAAGTGGTAATCAGGACTGACGTGTCCTTCAAAGCAGAAGAAAAAGTTTGTTTTCTATTATACACATTTGGCAAATAACTGCTTTCTGTGTAAGAATTCCAAAATCTTCAAAAATTAAAGAATTTTTTTCTTCATTCGTCTTTTTTTTTTTTTTTAAGGAAATGAAGGCCTGAAAGTGGAATATCATTTTCAAACTTATGTCGCTTTAGGGACTATATTTATTTTATCTTAAATTCAGTGGTAAAATCTGAGATTAAATCCAGTTAATGCATTTCTTTTTTCTGTATGGGAATTGAAAGTGTGATTAGTCTATACCCTGTTCTATTTCTGAATTTATATTTTTTAAATAAAAAGTTAATTATGTTTGCTCTGCTAGAAAGTATATGACTTCTTGGGCGTATAGATTATATACACTCTCAGAGAAGAAAACAATGGCAAAAGAGGAATGGAGAAAAAAGAACTGAAAAAAAGTTAAGAAACAAAAGCCCAGCTCTGAAGAATTTGATTTTCATTAAGTTTGCGATCTGGTCTTTGAGCCCCTCTTTTGGATATTCAGGCCACCACTAGCATATCCTCTCTAGTAGGGACCCAAAGATAGGAGCCTTGATAAAAGTCAAGGTTGTATTATCCCCTCACAATTGTGATGTGGAAAGCTGATCTCCTAACACCCCACCCAAAGAAACCTCCCATGATCTTAACCTTTTCTTAAGAAAACATGATCTGAGAACTTCAGAAGGTGGGGCCTACTGGGCTTCCGTTTTCTTTGCTTTAGAGTTTTCATAAAAGGAACACTACTCTTATCAAACTCTAACCTTCCTCTCACCCTTTCTTTTTAGATTTCATTTTTTCCGTAGGGTCATATTTCTATCTCCCCTGCTAATGTTGTGAATTATTCCAAGCAAAAAATCCTGTTAAACTGCCCAACACAAGCTGTGCGATCAGCCTTTTGAGCTCATGAGTCATTTTAGGCGTCGGAACAAAACAAAAACAGGTTTAAATGAATTATTTATCAAGGTCGAGAATAACTGATTTGTGCAGTGCCCTTAGTTCTGGACCTCAAATTTGTTTTCTCCTCCTCCCCACTTCCCACCCAGAATAATCAGCGAGGGAAGTGCGGGTAGAACCCCAGGTTTGGGAGGAAAGGCACTCCATTTGGGGAGTGGCAGGTGATGTCAGAATGAGAAGAACCCCAATTGATATTTGGAGGGAGAATAATATGTAGCATACACCTGTAGTCTCGGGCCGTCCCAGCGCCCTTCCCACAGAAGCCAACTGTGCCAGGGGTGCGCGAGGGTGTTGGGCTCCGCGGCCTTACGGGTGGAACACTGCGGCCTTCTGCAAGATAGATGCCCGCGCAAGTCCCGGGCCGGTGGTTTCGAAATACCCGCCCGCTGGCAGGCCGATACCCGGTTGGCAGGCTCCCAGGAGGGTCTGGTCGCTCCAAAGGCGGCCGAGTCAACCCCTCTCCAGCATCATGCAGGCCCTCTGCGGCTTCCCAGGCCAGAGGAGCTCAACCCCAGCGGGCCGGCCCACCGCGCGCCCCCGAGGGGCTCCCCGCACGCCCTTCAGCCAGCTACGGCCTTTGCCTGCAGCTCGCCCCGCGTCCCCGCCTCGGCTCACCAACCCCGGCTCCTCCGCCAAACTCCCCTCGCCTTATGAGAAAAGCGAGAGCTGCCCGGATTGTACATCTCCTCGCCTTGGTCTTTTCTCTCCCTGCTGTTCTCCTCAGAGACAGACCCGTGAAAAAACGGCACAAAGATAAGAAACAGCTCAAACACACCCTTGAAACAGCGCGGGCTTTTTTTCTGGGTCAAACACAGAGAACTCCCTAGGAAAGCGCAGGAAGGATGACTCTCCAACCTCCCCCCTCCTCCCTCCTGGACCGAGGGCTCACACGGGCGCAGTTGCGACAGAAAGGTGGTATCTTGTCCCAGGAGGTCTTTTGCCTCCCTGACACCACCCAGTCCCCCGTCCTCAACGGAAAAAATCTGTTCCACGGAAAGGGACCTTCAGAACTGCAACTAAACCTCAGATTTCGGCCCAGCCCTTGGAGACTTTAAAGGCCATTTTCTAACATCATTCTGCACCTAGTCACGGAAGCGATGCCAGCCATTCAGATTCATAGGGTTCTTAAAATGGTAATTTGGAGTAAAATGTAACTCAAAGAACTTTGAATCATTCATTAGCACCTTATAATTACTCTGCTAATTAGGTTGACACGGCACTTAATCAGGAGTAATACGCCGTCTTGTCACTGGCACTTCCCATTACTCTGACATTCAACAAGAGACAGGTTGGAGACGTCCTAGAGAAAATAATGTAAGTTGATACCCTCCGACGAGGCGTCACAGTCATGCCACGCTCCAGGTCCCAAGTGGATCCACAGTGACTGTTTCCTTTCCAAATGAGCGGCCGGATGGGGGGGGGGGCAGAGGGAGAGAGGGAGAGAGAGAGAACTGGCTGGTGGCGAGGCGCAGTGCGCGCTGCGGACCCGCCACCTGGGTTCCTGAGCCCCGTGCCAGCCTGACAGTGCCGTGAACCATCGCCGCCCTCGCCACTAGAGAACGCCTCGGGGCATTATTTACCCCGCTCGGGAGAAAGTGTCTGACCAGGCATTTCTTCCAGCACGGGCCCTGATTGGTGACCAGACTGCGTCCGCGGTTTGGAGCAGCAGGTCCCTTCCCTCCCTTCCCCCCCCCCCCCCCCCGGCTTCCCGAGAGTGCAGGGTGGATGCGCTCCATCCCCCCTCCGGGACCAGCCGCCTAGGGGGCCACAGCTCGGGCGCCTGGGCCATTTGGGGGAGAAATCAGAGCTCGCAGTCCTCCCGCCCACCCAGAGGTCCGGCTGCTGGAGTTACACACTTTCGCGTGGATTCCTTCAGGGAACCCCCTTCCTCTGCTCTCAGTGTCCTTGGACTATACCCGCGCGTGTTTGGGGATGCTGCGAGGGCGGCCGCGCGGGAGTCGAAAGGTAAGCCAGCCAGATTCCTTTTCCCTTCTGTCCTCTTTCTCCTTCCTCCTCGGACTTCTTAGGAAAACGGACAAATCTTTACTTGGATTTTTTGGTTTTAAATTTCACCCCCTGCGTTCCCTTTTCTAGTCTACCTCTGCTCTCCTCTCCTCTCTGCCTTTGCCCTCACGCGTGATTGTGGACACCGGGACGGGAATCACTGTAGGAAGGTGTTCGGCTTCGGGCTGCAGGCAAAGGGTTGAGCAGGTTCTCAAAAGAGCAGCGGGGCCCGAGCCGTGCTCGCTGACGGGCTCGCGAGTCGCGCGTCCATTGGCTCCCAGGACGTCGGCGTCGCTCGCTCGTGCGGGCGCGGCCAATGGGAGCGCGGGGCCCCGCGCGCGGCCTCGGTGGCGGGGGCGCCGGCCCCGCGCGGCGCGGAGAGCGGCGGCAGTGGCCGTGACGTCACGTGAGGGGGTCGGCGCCGCCCGCTAGCAGCCGGATTACAAGCGAACGCGCCCGGCAGCAGCCGGAGTCGTTCGGCGCCGCGTCTCCGCCGCCTCCTCCGCCTGCGCCTGCTCCTTCTTTTCCTCCTCCTCCTCTCGCGGTCTCGTGTTGCCGCGACCACTGCGGCGGTGTCTGCTCCACAACTTTCCGAGAAAGTTCAGAAACTCGGCTCCAGGGCGGCCGAGTCGCGCGCAGCAGCCACCTCGGGGAGCGGCCCGGGAGCTCCGAGGGCGCGCGACCGCCAGGGCTTCGCGGTCGCTGCACCTGCCAGGTCCGCCGCCGCCGCTGCCGCCTGGTGCCAGGCTGTGGGCAGTCCTAGGCGGCGGCGGCAGCGGCGGCGGCGGCGGCGGCGTCGGGGTCACCTCCCGCCGCCTGCGTCTTCGTCTGAGTCCCCTGCGCCGCCACCGCCGCCCCGACGTGCGCGGTCGTTCCTGGAGCGCAAGCTCCGTTCTTCCTCAACAATTTTTGTAACTTTCCCCCCTCTCTTCCTTTCTCCCCTTCTCCCCACCCCTACTTTATGAATAAGGAAAACAAAAAGTGTCGAAAGTGCCCACCGATTGCTACCCCCCCACCCATGATCCTTCCTTCCCTTCCCGCCCCACTTGTTTTGTTTTTTTAAAGCCGCGACAACCTTGTTTAGTGTTTATTTTGTTTTACGATCGATAGCTTCCTTTGCTTGGTCTGGGCGGCTGCTGAGCGGCGAAGTGGCGTGGACCTCATGTAGAAATGACAACAATGGAAGGGGCCAGCGGGTCGAGTTTTGGAATAGACACGATTTTGTCCAGTGCCAGTTCGGGCAGCCCCGGCATGATGAATGGAGATTTCCGCCCGCTCGGCGAGGCCAGGACCGCGGATTTTAGGAGTCAGGCCACTCCGTCCCCCTGTTCGGAGATTGATACCGTAGGAACGGCGCCTTCTTCTCCCATCTCGGTCACCATGGAGCCCCCGGAGCCTCATCTGGTAGCAGAAGGGCCCCAGCATCACCACCACCTCCACCACAGCCAACCGCCGCCGCCACCCGCCGCGGCCCCCACGCAAAGTTTGCAGCCTTCTCCCCAACAGCAGCCGCCGCCGCCGCCGCCGCAGCAACCACCAGCCCAGCAGCTGGGCTCGGCCGCCTCGGCCCCCAGGACTTCCACCTCTTCTTTTTTAATTAAGGACATCTTGGGCGACAGCAAACCTCTGGCGGCGTGTGCACCCTACAGCACCAGCGTGTCCTCTCCCCACCACACCCCGAAGCAGGAGAGCAACGCAGCACACGAGAGCTTCAGGCCAAAGCTCGAGCAGGAGGACAGCAAAACCAAACTCGACAAGCGGGAAGATTCCCAGAGCGACATCAAATGCCACGGTGAGTCGCGCCGCGTCGGCCGCCCGAGCCATCTGGCTTCTTCTCGTCCTCGGGTTCTCGGTCTCCCCGTCTCCCCTTCAGACTCCCGCGCGTCTCGGCTGCGGAGTTATTCCTGGAGTTTCTGGGGCGATCGCACCCCGGTCAAAAACTGCAAGCGGGAGGGAGGCCTGGGCATGCGACACGAGGACTGGTCCGAAGTTCGGTTTATTGTTACATTGCCACCTCTCAACCTTCACCGCCATCCTGCTCCTTTCTTTGTTTTACTTAATTTCAATTTATTAGGGATAGGGAGGAGGTGGAGGGGATCTGACCGGAATTCTTTCGTTCATAAAAGGGAAGGGCTGGAGATTTTTCTAGCTGAGACCTGGGGGGTGGGAATAAGGGGAGGTGGGAGAGAGACACGGGCTTAGCTAGCGTGGTGTCTAGGGGTGTGTTCACAACGTGGCGTTTATTCTTTAATGCAAATTATTTCAGTCCCCCCCACACACTGCATTTTCTAAACATCACAGGAATTACCAGATTTAATGAAGGAAAAATTTCCGAGTTGATTATCAAAGCAACTTTTTTTTTATTAGATGGTGATTAACATAGGGAAGCCCCTATGGTAGAAATTTATAATCAGTTTCTCCGTTTTTAAAATACCCTTCTTACTCCATGGCCCCAACCGAATATTTGTATTTCAGTAAGATTTTGTTTCCCTACAAGTAATTGGGAAATCGCATTTATGAAAGTAAAATCTTGTGGAATTGGATTTATTTATTTTTGTAAAATCAGAAAATAGCAGTTGAAACTGTGCTTCAACTCCCTTTTTCCATTTTCTCCTCAGACAATTTCATAAGGAAGTGTTCTGGTCTTTGCACGATAAAAGAGTTTTAACATACCAGGAGAATTCTTTTTTTTTTCCTTTGCTAATAAGTTTATTACTGTTATTAGTATTAACCTTTGCCATCTCTGGGAAAGATGTGTGCGGACTATCTGAAAGGTAGGATGTTGGCTCCTCATTTTACTATTATAACATTAGCATAATAGTGCCCAAAACAGATGTACAGTCTGGTCTGGCGATTTTTTGTGCACCAACCTCCCCAGTGGGTCAATTAGAGAGATTATTGTTCTTCCTGCAGGGAAGATCAAGGAGCGCAGCAAAAACGGGTACAAACAGAGAGGGATTGACATATCGATTTCCCAGCATTTCAGTAAAAAACCAAAGTTGACAAATAGAATCCGGAAATCTCTCGGCTGTCACCTGGATGGGCTCAGTGATTTTGAGCTCTACTTGGTGTCTGGGTGACATATTCTTTCTGAAGCTTTAAAAGACTTGATGCAAGCAACTGCAGAGAACTTGATTCGACCATTTCCCAAGTGCATCTGAAAAGGGAAAACAAATGCCTATAACTTTTAGTAAACAGAAAAAGTGAAATGAAAAAGGTGCCCCTTCCTCAACAAAACAAAACACAACACAACACAACAACAGAGTAGAAAGATCTTTTGAAAAGTACCAAATCAGAAAAAAAAAATGAAGTCATAGTGAAAACAGTAAAAGAATGGAACAGGATCTCCCCCCACCCCGTGAAGGAAACAATAACAAAAGGACCCTATATTGTAAAATATTTTTTTCTTTTTAACTTCCAAAGATGAGAAGATCAGACCTTTTAGAACCCTTTTAGGAACTCTGCACAAAGTTCCAGACTCTTTGGCCAGAAATTGGTCCTCTTACTCCATATTGGCTAAGGGCCAAGTTTGTGTGTGATGAGGGTGGCAGAGTCTAGTCCCCCAAGACCAGCAGCTGGCTTGGGAATGTGGAAGTGTGTGCCAGGAGGACACACCACCCTTTCCATTCCACGCTATCATACGACTCTGGGTTTCTACCATAGGAACAAAGGAAGAAGGAGACCGGGAGATTACGAGCAGCCGAGAGAGTCCCCCTGTGAGAGCCAAAAAGCCTCGCAAAGCCAGAACAGCTTTCTCTGACCACCAACTCAATCAACTGGAGCGTAGCTTTGAGCGGCAGAAATATCTGAGTGTGCAGGACCGCATGGACCTGGCAGCTGCGCTCAACCTCACGGACACCCAAGTCAAAACCTGGTACCAGAACCGCAGGTAAGGGATGCTGTGGGGGGCGGGCAAGGGCATCTGGCTGTCCAGGTCCTGCCCACCGCAGCGCCAGTCTTCTTCCCTCCTGGCCCCGGGAGACTCCAGGGACTCAGAGGTCCCAGAGTGGGCCCCTGGGGGCTTTCAGGCTGGAGCAGGGATTAACCACACCTCCAAGGTGAGAGGGACTGATAGGCAGCTGGAGTTTGGAACATTTTGCACTTCTGAGTGTCTTAGCATATGCTACTTTTCCTCTCAAGTCCGAGTGGCTGGAATCCCTCCCCCCACTTTGCCCCCAAATCGATCAAGCCACACCTTCTCAAATTGAGACGTCTGTGCAGCTGACACTCAGGTCCGTAGAGCTTGCGCCGTGCCCCCTTTGGGCCTGCCCCCGGCTGGTTCCGAATGTCTACAGCTGGCCACGCAACCTGGCTATTGCGATCCAGGAGGAGCTGCCCCACTGGCCTCAGCTTAAATGTCCTTGCCTTGTCTTCTGAGGCAGCCAGCCAGGCATCCAGACTGAGGGTCTGTCCCCTATATTTGTCACCTCAGAGCCTGCCAGGAACCACTGCCTCCACTGAAAGGAAATTCGGAAGGGGGTTGGCAGCACTCGCAGGCCCCTGAACGGTAGAGTGAACCCAGGCAAGCTGAGGCTGAAGTTGTGCTGTGTTTCCAAGCCTGGCAGTAGACAGCCTTGTCTCGATTTTTTTCTCCCCCTCCTTTTCTCTCATTTGTCTTCTAATCGTCCATAAGTGCGGTTGGAAATGCCCATCCAGTTGTCATCTTTACCATAATTTTCTGTCTCATTACATACGGTTTCAGCCACCCTAATTCTGTCGGAAAACATTAGTGTCATTTGTAGCCAATTTAAAATGGGCGACATGTTTATTAATTTGGCTGAAGCTCCCGGGTATGGATGGCCCACCAGCCCTGAGTTCCTTCATGGGGCATTTGAGCAAAGACCTGGTCACCTCTTCTTCCTAGCGGGGTACAATGGGGGAGGGAGGAAACCGAGAAAAGCTGATCACAGGTTTTAATTGTTACCCTCTCTCCGAGGAGAAGATATCTTGAAATGCATTTCCCACCCCCACCCCCTGGCCTGAAATGGCCCTGAGGTGCTGTCACCTTGGCAGAGCCCTCCCTCAAACAAATTCCGTTTTGAAACCTCGGTGCCTTTCTTGCCCCAAGCCCCCCACCCGCTCTAAAGTCCTGTCAGGCTGAGGAGAGGGATGTGTCTCCACAGCTCTGGGGACTGAGAGCGACAGGGTCCGAGGCCCAGGAGTCTCTGTGTCCTTTTGTTTATGGTTTCTTCTCACTCGGCCTGGAGGAAGGGGGGCGGGGCAGAGAGTGGACACTCTGGGATTGTGGGGGACCACTTGGGGAAAGGGATTAGAGGAGGAGGGAGAAGACCGCCTATAGATGGAAAGAGTGGTCTCCGTTGGCCTTCAGGGAAGTTTCGGGAAGTAGCCCAGTTATAAGGGGCTACAGCAGAACAGAGGGTCAGGAAGAGGCAGCAGAGCTTACAGAATTTCACTTAGGAATGTCTCAGACGTTAAGGGTGTAATTTATGAAATTGACTTGAATTTGGGCCCTTCTGTGGGCGAGAGGGTGGGGAGGGGGGGTGGGAGATGTGGTTTATTCCCGGTTCTCCAAACTCTTGCCGTCCTCCTGTGCCTGGAGAAAGAGAAGCAGGCAGGGGGCGAGAGAAGAAGGGGGCTGGGTGCCTGGACCGTGCCTACAGCTGCGGGGCGTCGTGCACGCCCGCTTTTTTTCAGGACCAAGTGGAAGCGGCAGACCGCGGTGGGCCTGGAGCTGCTGGCCGAGGCGGGCAACTACTCGGCCCTGCAGAGGATGTTTCCGTCGCCTTATTTCTACCACCCAAGCCTGCTGGGCAGCATGGACAGCACTACGGCCGCCGCGGCTGCCGCAGCCATGTACAGCAGCATGTACCGGACTCCTCCCGCGCCCCATCCCCAGCTGCAGCGGCCCCTGGTGCCCCGCGTGCTCATCCACGGCCTGGGGCCCGGGGGGCAGCCGGCCCTCAACCCCTTGTCCAACCCCATCCCAGGCACCCCGCACCCCCGGTGAAGAACGAGCGACTGGCAGCGCTGCAGTCCCTTCCCATCCCATCCCCGCCCCGACCGACCGGACAGCTGACCCTCCGCTCCGCTCCCCGCACCAGGCCGCTGGGCCTCTCTCGGGAGCGACCCCGGGAAGCGGAGCAGTAAGAGAAGAAGCCGCTCAGTGGGAGGGGGTGCCCCCCAAAGAGGAACCAGCCCTCCGCTCTCTATCTCCCCACCCCCAGAAACAGGGCTGGAAAGCTCCCCACAGCAGTGTGACTGGCGATATTGCTGACCCCACACAAAGTGCGACCAGTAAGTGAAAGCATCAACAAAAACAAAACCTCAAGCTCTTTTTAAAAATGACTTTAGGGACAAGCGGGGGGGGGGGGGGGTAAGGAGGGAAGAATGAAGGGCACGGAGAGGAAGCCAGAGAGGCAGAGAGAATTGTAGATGGACAGACAGCCTCAAATTCTGAGGCACAGGGCGTTGCTGTGGACATTCCGTCTGCCCCAGAGAAAAGAGGAGGGTAACTGAGAACTTTGCACTGATTTCTCATGACCTTTTTTCTGTTGGAAAAGTGGCATGCTCCATAATATGAAAAAAAATGTACATTTGAAAGACTGAGTGATAAGTGATATATCATATTTATTATATGTTGTCCAAAAAAGAGTCACTTATATACGTTAGTAAAACATGATTTTTCTTTTCATGTCTTTTTGATTCAGTAAAATAAATGCTTAGACAAAAATATAGATTTTTTTGTGATTGAAAATTACAAAAATAAAGTTTATCTTTTTTTAACAAGCAATGAAATTCAAGGGAGCTGATTTTACTAAAGCAGAATGTACTATGATGAAATGCCTGACTTGGTTTAGGGAAAAAAAAAATCCCTCCTGTAATATTAGGAATTTGTAAACTCTGTAAAGACTTTGGGTTGACTTATATAAAAACAGCGCCAGTTTTCCTGCTGGCCTCTTCTGAGCCAAGCCGTTATTTGATGTGTGAATTCCTTTCTTTTTAAGTGGATGATTTCAGAGCAGCCCGCCCGGACAGGGGGGAAACAGTCTCTGCTTGTAGGCTGTTGGTGCCGGCTAAGTGGGCCGCCAACTTTCCCTGCTCCTGGCCTGCCTGGAAGCCCCAGCCAAACCGGGGCTGTCTGCCCCTCCTCCTCTGCCTCCTCCTCCTCCTAGGGCTCTTCCCCGGGGCGGTGAGGGTCCCCGGCGCTGGGCAGCGGGCGGGTGGACGCTCCTCGGGCCTCGCAGCTGTTCTGCAGCCCGCAGCCCGGCGCCCACGCGGCAGGCCAGCCTGCGAGCGGGCGGCTGCAGGGAGCGCAATTAGGACACCCCGGGACTTGGAGAGGCCGGGCTAACAAACCCTCGTTGCGTCTTTGATCCTTGTCTTCTCATTCCCCAGCGGGCGTCCAGCCCCCAGCCCTGGCCGGACCTCTTGTCCTGGAGAGTTCGTTGTGCTGGGATGCCTTGGAACAGAAATCCAAGTCTGGCCAGGACAGGCGTGCCAACCTTTTTATCAGCATCCTTGCAGGGCTTGGGACCATAAAATGAAAGGCCCCATCCAGAGGGTGGAGGAGGTCCACTGCCTGCTCTAGGAATGTGTGTGTGTGTGTGTGTGAATGGGTGTGCAAATACTGGGAGCACCTCTGCCAGGGCTGCAGGTGCACCCCACCAGAGTGGCTCCTCGCTAGGCTCAGCATTCAAGACTATGTAAGGGAACAACTGAACAGGGGTTCAGTTCTAGGGCTGCTTCCACCTTCTCCAGCCCCAGGGGCATTTCCTGAAGAGCCAGAGTCAGATCCCCCATCTGGGTATTCTCATATCTCTAGCCTCACGCCTGCCCAAGTACAGTGCTAAAACAAGCAGCTAAAACACATCCAGACCCATCCTCCAACTTTCTCTGATGTTGAACCTTAGTAGAGTTGAAGACATTTTTTAAAAAGTGGAGTGCTGTGGGAGTGTGTATTGGGGAGGGGTGGGAAGGAAGAAGGGAAGAAAGAGGTGAAATCCAGGAGGAAATTGCCTCAGGCGCCTTGATCAGACCTTGGCTAATTAGGGAGTGGTTTGCAGATTTCTATCCAGCTCATCAATTTGCTTTAAAAGTGGTCTTGGTCTTGTTTGATTCTAACAAAAGGGTCTGGATTGGCCCTTCTCATTTTCTTCAGCCTGAGTCGGGGCAAACTCAGACAGCTGGGTTGGGTTGGAAACTGGGCACCACTGTGTCCAGTGGGGAATGCCCAATGCCTGGGCATTCTAGCAGACTCATCTTGTTCCACCTTAGCTGCTGTTGGGTTTTACAATCGAGTTTAAATAGTTCCAAAATGGTCTGCCTGGGCCTAAAAAGGCACTCTCCAAGGCTGGGGGGGGGGTGCACTGCAGCTTTTGTCTGCACTTGTCCCAGGGCCAGGCAGCTTTGGGCGCAAGAGGGACCTGGGAAGTCCCTGGAGTTCACACCTCGCACATTGCCTGTGAAGAACGATCTCAGGTCCAGTTGGGAAAAATGCATAAACAGACCTACAAATACAAACAAGGCCATAGCACCCATCCGCTACCAGCAGCCAGCCAACAGCTCACCAGCCACTCTGCGGAGGAGCCAGCCTGCTGTCCCTTCACTCTCAAGGCTGAACTTGCACTCCATAGGTTGGCAATGCAGGGGGATGCACTGTGTCTCTAGAGGCCAAGGTTTCTTAATTATCCTTATATTCCACTGCTGTTAGCCATTACTCTGGGCCCACCGGAGTCCTCCTAAATTTGCTTTTCTTCAAAGCCATGTTTTCTTCAACTCCCTTCAATTGGGCAGCTAAAAGTGTCGATTCCCCTCTAAATGTGTTTTGGTTATTTCCCGTTGTATAGAAGTTGGCAAATTGGCTGTTGGGGTGGGTGTTGCTTCAGGAAGAAAACTGAGCGGCCGAATTTCTTCTTTTCATTCTTTTCTTTCTGCTGCAGTACTGCGAAGCGCACCTTAGCTGGTGCCCTTCTATTCAAACATCCCCAAACTACTGCTTAAAAGTCAAATGCAAACACATCCTTTTCCTCAAAAGGGGTCCCTCTGTTCTTCTGTGCTTGCCCAACAAAGATGGGGGTTAGCTAAGAGATGAGGAGTGCAACCCTAGGTTTCCTGAAAAGCAAGGAACAAAGATGACAGGCAAAGATCTTTTCTCATGGGAGATGTGGAGTCAGTTGTGGAGGCCCAGAGGACAGCTGTCCCTGGGAGCTGTGCTCCTTTCCTTTTCCCCTAGTTTCACTTGGTGTCTGAAGGGCACTCCACAGTTAGACTTTATTTGGATTGGTCCTGTGATTAAGTTGGGGACTGGCAAAACAGGGGCTTGGAGTGGCAATCTTTGCTTCCTATAGAAACCCAGGAAAATGAACTTGTTTCAGAGAGGTCTTTAAACATCCACGGTGACCCCTTTAGATTTGCCCACCCCGTGTCAGCTCCGGGACCCCAACTAACCTAACAGAAATCTGTAGTGAGTGGGAAGTGAAAAGTGGACTCCCGGGCCAGCAGCCAGCCAGTCCAGTCCACGCCAGCAATTTTCGAGGAGTTGTAAAGTAAGGATTGCAGCTTGTCTCTAGCCTCCAGCAAATATACCTACCACCTTGTATCAGTTTATTTTTGCTCCACCCTTTAAAATGAAAGCCCACACAACAGCAAATTAGCGGATTTCCTCTGTTGCAAATAAAACCCACTTACCCTCAAACCAAGACTTCCCTCCTCCTCTCTCCCTGCCATCTGACTCCTTGCCTAGGCAGCCCTTCCCCAGGAGTCTGCTGAATCCCACCTCCCCTTTTTAAACGGGTGGCTTGTGAGTAGTTTGTTTTGTTACATTTTTAACTTTCTAAAAATATTTGGAAAAGCTCTCTCCAGGGCTAAGGAAACTTTAGTTCCTGTCAAGCCACGTGGTTACAAAAATATACTGGAAGAGAGCTACTGAGTTTTCTAAAAAGCCAGGCATGGCTTGAAGTCAACATGCTTGGGAAGAGACTGAATTTTCACTACTGGTGGGAATGGGCAAGGGCAGGTTGGAGACTCCAAGGGGGACTGATGTTTGCCACAGAGCTCTGAATCCTTGGTGAGGGAAGGCTGGTTGTTGCCTTGGCTCTTGGTTAGAGAGGTGTGGGCAGAAGGATGAGTGGGGGCGTTCCCAGGGTTTACCCCAATGGACCCTGGAAAGTGTCTCTAGGCTCCTTGAGTCTCTCACTAGGTCTTTGGTCCCACTTTCTTGGCCAGTTCCCAGCCCGCCTCTCTACCGCTTGCTTCTTTCCCTGGAGTTGGGGCGCATGGCTAGGGTCCACTGCCCCTCCCTTCTTACTTCTGGAAGGCTCAACACCCCCAGGGTTGAGTAGGGGTAAGTGTATAGGGTTGAGGGTGTGCGCTTTCAGAGAAAGGGAGGTGTCACTGGCCTCTTGCACTGGAGAAACAGGTCAGCTGCCTCAGGGCGATGCGATGACCCAGAAGGGACTTTTTTCCTTCCCTCCTTCCGGCTGAATTTTGAAGGTCTTTATCGTTCTGAGTGTTGCTGGGTGGGACTGTCTTGGCCAGCACGGCGTTCTGTTTCCTTCTTCTCTGCCTCTCCCGGGCTCTTCCCCGGGGCCTCGCTCTCCCGAGTGCTCCCTCCTAGCACCACAGACAGCTCCCGGGGCGCGCGGTGCAGCGTAGCGCTGGGGGCTGCCGGGTTCCCTGCGAAGCCTAGGCGACCGCGAGGGGCGCGCCGGGGAAGGGTCGACGGCGCCCGCGGGGGAGGTCCGCGAGGTGATTACAAAGAGCCCTCCCTGGCAGCGTTTCCTGATTAGCTCTAAGTCCAAACAGGGTCACATTCCAAAGAAGAAAATCTTCAGATCAATAAAGTAATTCAAAAACCCAAAGATCTCGGGGTAAGTAGTGCTCAGTGACAGATCAACTTTAAACCGTCCCTATTTAATAAGTTCTTAGTGGAAGCCGGCTGGGGAGGAGCGGGGCCTCAGGTCTGCGGCTTCGAAAGCCCTTGCGCCGCGGCCGCAGCGAGGTCGCCAGTGGAATCGCTCTAAATGGCACTTTTTACTTCCTCCGCTCGCGCTGCCGGGACTGCTCCTCGAACCGCCGCCTGGGTCGATGGAAGCCCAGGAGAAGCGCTCCCAAGGCGGGTGGAGCGGGTCCTCCTCCCCGCAGTCCTGGGAGTCTCCCGGCTTCCGCCACTATCGGGTCCAGGACAGCGAGCGGGTCGCCTCCGCGGGAGCTCCACCGAAAGAAGAGGACGTTCCAGCGCGCGAGATTGAACTTGATTTACGATAAAAGGGCTTTGTCACTTTGTGGAGCTGATGGATTCCCGCCCCC